CATAATCCTTTTTTATTGCAAGTGACCACGCCAAGGAGGCGTTTTGGATGGGGGCGTGGCACTTTAGTCAGCTCATAAGGCTCATCAACAAGTTCATTTTACGGTCAATTCATTAAAAGAAAAAATAAAACAAAAAAATAGCAAAGGGATGGAGCGAAGGGGTTTTTTCAACTTTTATATATATGATTCCCCTCCTCATTATACCCTTTATGCATACAGGGTATTCCAGGGAAAATCGGGGAAGGATCGGCTATTTTTATGGAAATCAAAAGGATTTATACTTTGGCCTCTGAAAACAATTATTACCACTAAACTGGATTATTTACAATCTTATTGATTTGTTGCGTGCAGAAAACTCGGCATAGTTGAATAATATTCTAGCAAAATATGATTTACCTTAAAAATGAACATACAAAATGAATCCTAGAAAGATAATCCGAGTACGGGGTATCCTCTAGAGCCATCACTTTTCATTGTGTGTGTTTTTTTCTGCGTTTTTTATTACAATATTTAGTTGGCTCGAAGGTGTGGCTCATGTGTGTGCTGACCCTCATTTGCTGACATTTAGTGGCAGTATTCAGCAACAATGTCAACGCTTCGTTTATGTGTGTGTTCTTCCCAGTGTACTGTCGTGTGTGTGTGTGTGCCTCATGCTAAACATGTCAGCCAACCCCGTTTACCTTCTTTCACCTGATAACTTTTTGTACATTTTTTTTTTGTATACCGGCCTTCCTTGTTTTGGTTTCTTTTTTTTTTTATTTATTTATTTAATTTTCGCCTGCCCTTTTGGCTTGGCTTTAATTTTATGATTATTGTTTTTTCCCCATTGCCGCGCCCACCTTTTGGGCCAGTCTTTTGTTCATTTCTTAAGTGGCGCTTTATAATGTTGACAGTTTTATTGAGGCGCAAAATGTGTTGGTCATTTTTGCCTTTGTTTAGTTATTGCCTCTGAGCCACCCAAACTCCCACCCAAAGAGCAAAAAAAAAAAAAAAAACGCACAACTTTTCTCAAAGGTATGACAGATACACAAGGGTTTTCGGCTTGGGGTTTTTTTTTTTTTTTGTGTGCTCTTTTTATTTTTATTTTTTGGGGCACTGTTGGCATGTCTGTTTGTTAAGCTATAGTTCAGGACTTAAATCCCCTCATTTGGCAAATAACAGATTTCATCGCATACTTTCGGGCCAAATTGGTTGGCTAACAAGTTCGGCAGTAGTTGGTACAAATCCGTTTGAAGTGGTCATCAAAGAGGCCATAAGTTAACCAACTGGTTGAAAAATTTAATGAAATAATTAAATAGTTCATCATTAAGCAACGAACTTAAACAACAAATTTAGTTCATTTTAAGAACTTATTTTAATGAAGTGCCTTGATTTTAAATGTGTTCTTTGAATTTTTTAAATCGAATTTGGTGCTAAAAATTAAAGCAGCCATTATAGGAAATTTTATATATTGTACCTCTGTTTCCAAATGACTTTTTCCCGAGCAGATTTTCCCCAATTACAAAGTTTCCGCATTAGCAAACAGAAACTGTGACATACATTTGGCTGCTTCATTACCCACCTTGACACAATCTGGGATATCAGCCTCTGTTTTCCCGGGTCTTTATTGTTGTTCTCCCTTGTTTTTCTCATTTTTGTTTTTTATATTTTTGGCTATATGATTTTGCGGCTCATTTGGTTTTATTAAAATTTTCACGTTTTCTCGCTTATCAAACGTTCACAAGTTTTGATTGTGCCACATCGCTCTGTCTCTCTTGGATCCTGTATCCAGTATCCTGCATGCTTTTGCCTCCACCTCTCAAGACACCCCCGAAGAGAAATTTTACATCACCCTCCTCCCCCCGCACTTTTTATCCCGAACACTGACATCATCCCTTATGTATGAGCCTTTACTTTTATGCTAATTTCCAAAACTGAAATGAATAAATGTCTTTTCGGATCTCGGGGCCGCGCTCCCTTTTTCGGTTGCTTTTATTATTGTTATGGAAATTTTTATAGTTTCCCCATCATTTAGTTGCCCGCACACAGAAAGGCGAACAATTTCTAAACGCTTTTTCAATTCAAAAGCTCCAAACATTTTTTGCATGGCGGCAACCTTTTTGTGCTGCGGCCAAAGTTGAACATTTATTTTAAATACACACAGCTGTATGCAGAACAATAGCAGTAGTATTTGCTTGCTATTAAAAATTCAAACAATAATGGTTTTAAATCCTTTTCACAAATGTTTTTTCATATAACAACGTGAGGCTAAAATACTATTTACTGATTGGGGAACAACTTGAGCTTAGAGCATTTCTATATATATTTCAATAAGGTTTGGCAGTTAATCGAAACAGTAATCTTTAGAATTTTTGGTTATTTTATGTATTCACTTATTCTAATAACTTGCGAATAGGTGTGCTGTCTAAGGGAAAACAAACAATCCCTATTTCGCTGTAATTTGTTCTAACAGAATTGTAGGCAATAAATAAAAATTACACGTTCAACAATTTCTATCTGGGCGCTGTGATCTGCTGCTCACAACAATGGCCGGCAGGGTTGCCACCCACCCTGTGAACCCCTTTCTTTCTTTTTATATTCGCCAACCGCCCTTTGTGTCCTTCTAATTGGATATGTTCGACGTTCGTCTTTGACTTTTGACTTGACTCGACTTCCCTGGCCAGACAACGGGCGAAATTCCTTTCGAGGATAAGCTCAGAATGGATGAAGGGAAAGAAAAATGTCGCTGGCAACTCTTTTTTTCTCTGGGTTGTTGTGTGGTGTGCAACCCTGCCGGGGCAATCAGAACTTATGTTTACCCCAATTAAGGTGAACACGAGACCGTTTTTGCGATCCAATGAGTTAGAAACAAGATAAAGGACCCAAAGCCCGGACAATAAGCCCAGGCTCTGCGCTATCCGGGGTCGCAGTGGCCATCCCCGCTCCTTGGGATCCCACGTTTTAGGACCCAGGACCTTGCTCCTTCTACTGGCTACACTTGGAAAAAAAATTTGTTAGAAATCAATGTGGTACGACTGGTTATTCTCTTTTTTCTCCAAAGATTAATGGCAAATGAATTTCATAAAGAATTTATTGATTTTACCAATCATTTAAATTTAAAGATTTTTGAATGGTTGCTTAGATTTTCTTATGTGCATGTTTGCCGCCTGCTGCCATGCATGTTTATGTGTCCTCGTCCTTCACACAACAATGCTCCAGGATCGTCGAGGGGAGGCATAAAAGGGAGTTGGCGAGGTGGAGATGAATGGAAGGGGATCGAAGGACCAGCTCTGAATGCCGAAGCAATGATTAAAAATTGTGCAAGCGTGTGGCGGCCAGCGACGTCGATTGCGGTTCAACTTTCAGTCGCAAAACTGTGGCAGCTCTTCAAGGGGCAAAATCGAAGGGGGAGGTGGCTGCCTGGGGGGTGATTATGGGGGCACGAAAGCCAACCCCCACCCTGCGTCCCATCCAGAACATCCAGAAAAACGCATGAAGAGGCTCAGGCAAGTTGCAAAATCCAAAAACCAAAGTCGTTCGCTTTTATTGTCATTCGTATGCGTGCTATGTGAAGCAGGAGGGAAGAGGAAAGAAGCAGGCGCCCACCAAGGGGGTTTTGGGTGCCTAAAAGGCGGTTTAAGCGCCCTAAGCCTGCCACTTGAGATGACAGCGTGAGGCAAGCCAAAAGGAAAGCCCCAAGGGCTCAACGAAAGTGCAGCTAAAAAAAAGTACGGAAAATGGCTCAATATAATATATGTATTAAAGTGAAGTGATCATAAAAAGGATCTGTGGGAAATATAAAAGGTTTTAAGCACATGTTTTAACCTATGTGGATTTTGCTAAATGTTTAGATTAGTTTCTAAAGTTGAATGAATTATTTTTGCTCCTCCCCATTATGTTACAAAAACTCCTTTTATGTACTTTCAATTAAACTAAAAGTTAAACCGAAGTCTCTAAACTTTAAGAGCACCCATCGTGACTCACGCACGTCGCAGGCCGCTCAAGAGTTCCGTATTGACTTGGGACTGAAAGCCTTAACCCTTTCCTGCCGGCCGATAACTTGCAGTGAACACGATTCCGTGATTCGGCCTCTAAATACTCATTAGCCATAACGACCACCCCGTAGGGGTTGAGGTAATATCCGGGGGATATAGTGTTCTTACGGGAGAAGAGGAGGATGCGGGACACACAGGACGAAGGACATGCCGGCTGTGTCGATGTCCATGTCTATCTATTGTCAACCATCAGCCACGCATGCAGTCCAGGATCAAAGGAGAAATGAGCCAAAAGCTGGAGCCCGGTTTCCTGGTTCCTCTGTTTTGTTTTCGGCTGGACGCTGCCAGGCAATCCCTATTACACTGCGAGTAAAGAATCTAGAGTAAGATAAGTTCAATACGTAGAGAACGAAGTATTGTCTAGATATTCATACTGTTACTTTTCTGAACAAAAAATTGAACAACAATAGTAAGAAAATAGTTTTCTCGCAGTGTAGATGGGACAAGGAGACGTGGTATATCTACGCCTTTCCACTATTTAAACTTGGCTCATTTTATCTAGTTCGATTGGCAATTTATCTGGAAATGCTTTGTCTGTGCTTACCTTTATAATTGGAGAGGCAAAATATCGGTTTTTGAATCTTAATTTCTGTGAAGGCAGGCAAAAGTTAACTAACCCCACACTGACTGTGGGACAAATGGAACATGGAACGCAAGAAATGCAAAATCCTGTCAGGCCTGAAATCCTTTTATAATGACAAAAGGTTTCCACCTTTAAGCGGATTACGGCAACAGAAGCACTTGGAACTCCAGACTGTAGGACCAAGTAATGCCTTACCTTTGGTATCTTGGCAGTGAAGTGGGGTGATTTCACAAAAACAGGGGCATCTTTCTAATTAGTTGGGTCTGCAACTGTGAAGAAAACTTAAATGGTTAATGGAAAATGGAAAATGGAAAATTTGGTTATAAAACAAAACTATTAGACGACCCGAAAGAAGTGGATTTCTAGATGAATAGAATTTCATATTTTACTCGTTATTCAATTTATTAAAATGTTTTGTGTGAATGGCTTCCAATGTATGTGTGGTGATTGATTTGGCCAAAATATTTACATAATTTCGAATTTGGTAGCAAGCATTCTTCATAACAAATATATAGTAAATAATATTTGTAATAAAATAGCTTCTCTTTACAAGGGTTTATGCATATTTGTTACATATTTTGTAGTTTTTGTAGTTTTGTTCGTATTTTTTATGTTTGGTGTATGTGTAAGGGTAAAAGATGCCAAAACAAGACAAAACTAAATACAATGGAATCATCAGATTGGTTATGTCTCATCCTGATTCCCAAGATTCAACATTATAATTCGTAATCGCTGAGATCCTCGGGAATTGCCAAGGGTGGCGATCCCGTTGGCAATAGGAAGCGCACTTGTGGGATTTGGGCTGTGGGCAAGGTGTGATGGGTAGCGGTTCCTGTACCTGTCCCAGTTCCAAATATTGATCCTGTGCCTGTTCCAGTTCCAAATATTGTTCCTGTGTTACTGATTTCTGGGCCTCCTGATGGCCACTGAAAACCAAATAAACTATTATCATGTGGACTGCTGGTTGAGTGCCAGAGGTCAAAATGGGTGCATATATTGCCAACCAAATGTCCACGCCCCGGTGATGGCTTTGCCACGCACAGTGGGCAGATGACTGCCTTGCGCTCCACCCTGTGCATGGTATGGCAGTGCTTTATGAGTTCACCACTTGTAAAACCCACATCGCCGCACATTGGACAAGTAAAGCTGTCCGCGCACAAAGCCGGCATTGCCTCGCCGGCAAAGAACAGTTCCAATCCGGCGCGACTCAACAGGCACTGGAACGGATGGGTCCATTCGTGCCGACCCGATCGGACGCCCCTGTTGTGGCAGGAAGGGCATAGAGTATAGTTCGGACAGCGAAGGCACCTGTACCGATAGTAGGGCATCCTGTTCCTACCACAGGCATCGCAACACAGTCGTGACATTCTGGAGTCGTAGAAAAGTTCAGTCTTATCGAGGTTTAATGGAAACATCTCCTAAGAAACCCTGGAGTCGTTTACACTAGTTTACAAAATAATTTAATGGTATAATTTTTATAGAATAATTATTTAAATTTGTTATAATTTTATTGTGTTTACTCACCTTTTTCTGAAGAACGTTTTCTTTTTGAATTTTTTCACCAAAATGTTGAAGAGAAAATTTTTCTGTGAACTTTCCCTTGGAAAGTTTTTCTACAATGAGAATCTAATTCTTAGCATCCAGTTAAAGATAAAGTCAGAGGTTGCTGGGTTGATGGAAAACATTTGAAAAAATTAGTTTTGAAAAAACAAAATTCTGATAGTTTTCAATGTTGACATTTAAATTTTTTAATGAATTAATTTATTCGAAATATTTAAAAAAAAATCTATAACCATAATGCTATATTGTTTGCTGCATAGTGTGGCGTCGGGCCCATTAAAAGCGCGTCGAGTCAGATATATGTTTAGACCCAAAATATACTCCCCCAACTCCTTGAAAATTTGAACTTTTGCCTCGTTTTGGTTTCGTTTGTTCGCGCTTTGTACATAAATTTCATGCAAATTGACTAATTAATTTTTGCGCAATGGATTCTTATCGCATGCACTGGGCAATATATTTGATATTTGCATAATGCACGTGTATTGGCTGGCTGTGTTTTTCAGGTGGCTTCAGGTGGGTTCATGTAGGTTCAGGTGATGGGCCTAAGGCCAGCCCACGCACTCGTTTTTGCCCCTGGCTGCGACACTGAAAACTATTTGTATTGGTTAAAGGTTACAAGAAAAACGTTTATCTAATTTCCATATAGTTGTCATAGAAAATATTCTACTAAATGGAAAATCCTTGAACAAACGATTCCAATATTCTGTTTAAAAATTATCTTTAAAAGCTATAAGGATTTTTTTGCAGTTCACCTACTGCGGTGCGGTAAAAACAACAACCATTTTAATGACGGATATTAAGCATAACCACACAACTAAACGCAGAGCAAAAGGGGTACACTGCGGGAAACCAGGGCGCATTCTGCTTGTGCATATATGTACGGTGGAAAATGTACAATGCTTCCGTGTATTTCCCGCAGGACAACGACTGACTTTAAGCCTGCCAAATATGCTGATTGCTGCAATAATGATGATTATGTTTGCCCGGCCTGCATGCGCGGCTCGAATTTGTTGGCCACAGCGGAAGGAAGTCGAAAGCATTGACAATGCCAGCGACACGGAACCCTTGCCAAAAGGGGGTATGGCTTCCAGCAGAAGGGCGATAGCAGTGGTACCCCAAAACGGGAAATGGGTGCAGGAGGCTTTAGAGCAAGTGCAGCCACAATGCCAACGACAATGACGAGCTGCAAAGGCATTTAACGACTTGCAAATGCCACTGCTCCTGCTCCTGCTCCTGCTCCCGTTCCTGCCACTTGACTACTCGACTGTCTGACTGACAAACTGACTAACTGACATCCAACAAATGCGAAAAAGAAACATCCAGCGGGTTGGTAAGCGGCAGCTTATGGAAATATTACAAGACCGCAGGGGCCAAGTCGATGGTCAATACTCTTTCTAAAAGGAAAAGGTTATAAGAGAGTATCAAGATCTAAACTAATATTTTTCTATTGGTTTTTCAAAATTATAGAGATTTATTTAAATCTGCAAATTCTTTCTCCTTTTACATTATTATTACATTTTGCTTTTTCAAAAATACAATGATAATAATCTTGGCAAAAACCAATATTCCAACAACCCAATATATTAACTAAATAATCGTTGTGAATTATATTTTCCTACTAAGTATTAATTTTCCCTCTTAATTTTATAAATCCAATAATTAAAACAGAATTAAAAAGCCTTGTTACTCGCCAGCGCCTAGGGTATACACTGTGCAACAAAATTATTGCATTGCGTGCATAAACTTTAGCATGGCCTGCGTATTCGAAACGCAGTTAGTTTTCCCCTACTGCTACGTCGCTTTTTCACATTCCCGAACCCCTTGGCTTTTCTATTACGGATGAGACCTTGCCTGTGCGGCCATATTAGCAAAGTGAATTGGTTTTTATTTGTAACGGAAATGTGGAAAATTATTTTCAGCTGTTTGGTCGTTTGGTGATTTGCATAAGTCGCAGGTGACAGTCGTCGCTGTTTTTTCCCAGCCATGCTTCTCTCACACCCCTAATTTTTTTTCTCTGTACACGGGTACTCTACAAACTGAGAAATTGTTTAAAAAATAATATAAATATTTAGGAATCATATAAATTATTTTGATATATAACCAAGTTAAGGTTCAAATTCTAGTTATGAGTATTTTTAGTAGATTTTAGTATGATAACTTTTCTGTCAGTGTAACAGAGTGACCCCAAGAATTTAAAGCAGCAGCTGTAGCTTAGTCCGATTTGCCTCTTACCATGCATGCTCAAAGCGGCTTAAGTGAGCGGTGGAAACAGGACCAGCAACCGAATCGGGGATCACGAGAACAGAAAGCAGGAGCTGGAGCAGGAGCAGGACGAGTCCTTCGTCTTGGTGTCCCTTAACTGCCAGTGGAGAACTGGCGACGACTGACCGGCGGTGATAAGAATGCCCGAACGAACTGATTCCCAGTCTCACCCAGACTTTAGGCCCTGTTTTGTCCGCTGATTACAAACACAAAACACTTGAGTGGGGCAGTTTTGGGTTATTTTGTTTACGTGTCGGAATCGTGGGACTTATTTGGCCTGAGGGAGGGAAGACGATCGGTGCGGCGGTGCCACATAAATATATATCTAAAAAAAACTGAGAACCTAAGCGGATTTTACCCAATTGCCATCTTGATGATTGATTTAATGTTTATGTTTTATTTAAGGTATTTTTTAGGCCATTCGTCGAACGATTTTGGTATTTTATTAATGGGCTTTTTATTTTTGGCATCTCGCTTTTAATGGTTTATTTATTTATCTTTCAAAAATTGTTCGAGAGTTTTAAGTTGTTTGAATTGGCTTAAGAAAGTATTTACCTATATACTTTAATATTTATTACCCAAATACCGAAAATCATTAATTTATTAATTCATTGAAACTGGTGATAATTTTTTTTTTAATAATATCCTATACCACACCACACTAAATAAATTAATTATATATTGATGTCGATTGTAAAAGAGCCCACAAAAGATTGGAATTTAATACAATATATTTTTCATTTCAGAGGCTCGTGACTTTTGGCTAGAACCAAAGGTCCTCGGGGAGATGTAGTGGATGGATTTTCCGACCTGGTAGATTTTCCTACCACCCCCATCATGAATTTCCCAAGCCCGTCCACCACCCCGCCTGTAACAGTTCTTCCTTTGAGCTGTGTCCTATTTGGGCTTCCGTTAGCTGCAGGTTTTTATGCATGCGGCCATTAACTGTCGGTTTTCCCCTCAGTTAAAGGGTGGGCGGAGCTGGATCTGACTCCACCCATGGTAGTCTACCCCAAGCCGAAAAACCAGAGACGGTCATCAGCATTGCAACATTTGCTGGTTTGACTTGCAGCTGCTCGTGGGAAATCAGTTTAATGGAAATTATAGCATTCGATTACTTCTCATACTAAGCCTACCTTGCTTCGCTCTGCCATCAGATTCCCCCTCTTTTCCATCACATCCACTTAAGTGGCCCGGATTGCGGCTCATCAAGGCAAAAGGCATCCATGGAAATGGTCTCAGCTCATCGGAGTTTTTGTCAAATGCCTAAAAGTATGCAGCAAAATGAAAGCGGAAAGCTAGGCAAATGCAGCAGGCGTTGGCTTAGAAAATCTTTTTGGTCCAGGCAGGTGAGTAGAACATTTCTCCTCCCATTTGCCATTTAAGTGACAAGCCAACGGACACACAACGGCCCACATAGTGCAAAAGAATTTTGCACAGATATGAGCCAATAGAGGGATAAAAGTGGGAAATTAGATTATTTAATCTGATTATATTGGGATAGAGGTAGTTCTGGGAAAAAGCAGAGGGTCTCATCCCCACAATTGAAACGGATCAGAGACTTTACCCACTTACTAATGAAAATATTATCAATTATCAAATAAGGCAAAGGGTATTCCATTTTATTTTTTCTAAACACACCGTAATTATTATTTTATTTTATGGCCCGATGACTTAGTTTCGGTACTTCGCTGCATATATAACATAACATAAATTCGGTCGCAAAAATACATTTATTGCCATAGCACACCCAAAAATTATCTAAATATAGAATGTAATAACCTCGAAGGGCTCGTAACTTGATTCCTATGATTCCCGATTGGCATTTATATCTGGGAAACTTCAATTTTTCCATTTCTCGTAAATTTTGAAAATGGGCTAAAAATGAAGTTTCCCAGATTTAAAATGAAAACCAATTGGGAATCATAGCAATCAAGTTACGAGCCATACGAGGTATTACATTCCTCATTTGGACCATGTTTGGCTGTGCTATGGCCAAAAAATTGATTTTTTGTGCCCAAAATTATGCTACGTCTTTTGACAGCAGAGAGACTGGCTTGTTGCCGTTTCTTAGCTCTAACTTTGTCAAAACAAGCCGCATGGCTAAAGCAATGACTGTCTTTTGTAGCTTACAACCAAAACTCTGAACCCCTATACTTGCTTCTATCATTGTTGTTCTGATTTTTTGGTGCGAGCACTGATTTAATGGCTAAAAAATCAAGAAACCAATTTTTAACTGAAATTTGCAACGTAATTTTCAGTTTTTTAGCTCTAGCTCGGCTTAAGTAAGGCGCACAGCCAAAAGAACGACTGTTTTGTGCTGCTTACGACCGAAACTAACCACCCCTATCACTCGTTTAGCGATTTTGAGAAATTCATTTTCGGCTAAATTTTGCATTTTTGATAAGGGGTACCATCATCAAAAGTTTCAAAAATGGGCCAAAAATGAAGTTTCCCAGATTTGAATGCAAACCAATTGGGAATCATAACAATCAAATTACGAGCCCTACGAGGTATTACATTCTGTATTTGGACCATTTTTGGCTGTGCTATGGCTAAAAAACTGATTTTTTTGCGCTCAAAATCAAGTATACGTCTTTTGATAGCAGAAAACCGGATTTTTTGCCGTTTCTTAGCTGTAACTTTGTCAAATCAAGTAGCACGGCAAAAACAGTGGCTGTTTTATGCAGCTAACAACCAACACTTTAAGCCCCTATACCTACTTTTAACAGTGTTGCTCTGTTTTTGTTGGGGAGAGTGTGGATTTAATGGCTAAAAAGTCAAAAAACCTATTTTTTACAGAAGACATTCCGGTTTTGTTGCCGTGTCTTAGCTGTAACTTTGTAAAAAAAATACTTACGGCTAAAAAAGTGACTGTTTTGTGCAGTTAACAACCAAAACTTTAAACCACTATACTTGGTTTTATCATTAATGTAATTTATTTGGCTGCAATTACCAAATTTGGAAGACACACAAGCAGGTCTAGTTACAAACATTGCAGCCTACTTGCTAGGAATCTAGTGCCAGCTATAGCACTGAGGCGTCTAAAACAGCCAGGTTTTGCCAAAACAATTAGAAGTCAATGAGGCTGCCATTTTCACATTTGTAAACCTTTTGAAGAAATTAGATTTGGATTAATTTTACAATTGCGGTAAATGTGTTGTTAAGATACTTTTAATACGCACTGGTTCTCCACTTAATAAGTGATTATAGAAAAAACAAGCACTAGCTCTAGCAAAACAACCAGCTTACAACAACACTACGAGCCCATGCAATCGGATGATTTTTTATACATAAATTTCGGAAATTTACAATTTCTTTATATTTGGGACTTTTATATAACAATTTTTTTTATTTTAACGTCATTCAAATGCATTTTTAGAGGAAATAAAAACCGAAAAATTACAGATGTGAAGTGAATTTTTGTTGTTCTTTTGGCTTGCGTTCAACTTGGTACTACGTGATGACCCCAGCACAGCCCGTGTGCCTTCCTCCCACATGTGGCTGTGTGAAGGTCACGTGACCGTACTCCCCGTACACACCCACAAAACCCCACCACCCTTTCGTTGCCTGTCGAATTTCGACATTGAGTTTAATGAAGTGCAACGAGAACTGCAAGCAATTGAAATGCACTTGGCATTTTGTTGGGGTGGTGGGGGCTGGATGTTTGCAATCTTCACCTGAAGATGCAGTGTTTTCTTTATTTTTCTTTTCTTTTTTTTTTTTGTTGCATCATCATCAAGGGCCGTTGAACATGCCACACGCATCGCCAAAATAAAAGTAAAGACAAGGGTGGTGCACCCTTTTCATTTTCTTTGCGGGCTGAGTGCAAAAACAATCTGTTCCCAGTCTGTTAAGAGTGCTGTTAAGTTATCCTCTGCTGACGTCGCTGTCTCTGCCGGCGCCTGCGCCTGTCCTGCGAATTTCCCTTCGGATTTCCCGTTCGGTTTTTCCTGTTGTCGGCTTGTTCTAAAGATTTTTAGATCCCGTTTTGTGACGTGACCCACCAACTGGGTCTCGGGTTTTTTTAAACTCGTCGCATTCAGCGATTTGCAGCGCGTTCGAGCAGTTGCACAGGGCATATGCGCAGTGTGCGTATGCGAGTTATTATGGTGGCATAGTGTACGATGTCAAAAAGACGAAATCCAGTCGAAAATTTGCATTAAGCTAGGTATAAGTTAGGACGACGACGACTTTTGAGCTACAAAATGCACTTGACAAGGAGACTTCTGCAACTTGGCTTCCTTTGGGTCAACTTCCTCATTACTGCGGCGTTTCTGATGATAATTTTTGGCCACCATAAAGGGGATTTCTATCTGCAGGTAGTTGGGGCCAGCCAACTAGCGGGATACCATGGTTTCTGGGTTTCTGGGTTCTGTGCATCAGGAATGGGCGCCTAAACAAGTTGAAGGAGGAATCTGCGGAAGAGAAGGACAAGTTAGTTGCTTTTCACCAAGTTCCCGGAATGACTGACTCACCAGTCAAAGTTAAACTTGGTAATTGTCTAGTGCTTGAATGGTTATGGAACTTTCGAGTTCCTGGAATTTCGGTAGGAGTATCAGATTTCCAGGCTGGCAAGTTTCCTTAATGAGCAGGAGATCATCATGGGCATCATGGGCATCCATATTAATTGGGGTATAATAAGTAAGCCAAATGTGAAAATCTTCGATTACCAACCTGCAAACGATAAGGTATCGTATTAATGTTGGCTTAATAGAGAACAGAGCAACTAAAAATAGAAACCAATTTGTTTGTCCAAGATGGTAATTTGAGGAACACAAAATCATTATATTAGCAGTAATTATTGCGACTATTCCTTTATTTATTTATACATGTCTATAAAATCCTTTGGCCAAGCTTACTATTTTATTTATATAAACTAAAATCATATTCATTAATATGGTATTAATAGTATTAGCTGCAAATTGTTTGTTGTGCTTAAATCGACTAAAATAAAATGCGACTAATGAAAAACAAATAACCGAAAAAGCTAAAGGAGCTGAATAATATAAATGCGCGTGCAAATAAATTATAATTATAATAAGTAATAAATAAGAGCAAATATAGCAAGTGGCGATGAGACTCCGCGCAGTGGTTTCACACGCAATTAACATATTCTCTCTGTTGCATTTAAATTGCTGCATATGGATTACGCGGTGGTTGTTGATCCCACCCACTGAAGGCCCCCGAAGGCCGCCCAGCAGCCAAACCATCCGCCACCAGTGCCACCCCTTTCCGCCTTCTTTTACTCCTTCGTTGGGTCCTTTTTAATTACTTGTTTTTGTTGTTGCTGCTGTTGTTGTTTGTGTTGCAGCGCGTTTTTTATTCAATTACTTGTACAAATTGCAAACAGACAAAAAATAAAATGGCAAGCAAAAAAAAAAATGAGCAAGTAATCGGCGACGATGGGGCATCAGGTGCGCGGATAAATGTTGCAATTTGTATGATAGCCCCCGACCTCTGACCCTCCCAGCGCCACCCCAACCGATCCACAACTCCAGGCGTCACTTTGCAGTCGCATTAAACAATTAACAAGTGTAATTGATAAACAATTAGCGGCATTATGAGCAAGCCGCAATGCGAAAAAAGTTTCAACTCACATATGCAATCGTATAAACAAAGGAAAGTCAACCCGAAAACCAAGGAAGCAACATCGCAGCAAACTATACTCTGCAAAGAAATAAAAATATTTTATTATAGAATTTTACAAAGAATCTTGGAGAATGTAAAGTATATTTTATTCAAAATATAATCAAAGAATAACTCAATAACTATAACAAGGACATCTAAATAAAAAATACATATTAAACTAATTTATTTTTATCATAGTTTGTATTGTTAAAAATCCCCATAGTGAGGGTAAAAATAAATATATGGTACATATATATGCTTGATAAGCGAAGATAATTTGTTTATAGAACCAGCCAATTCTCAGAAAACGCTAATGACCAGCCCAAACAACATGAAAAAAAACTATTTGATATATTGACATTATTCTTGGACACCGTGTCGGTATGCTAAGATATATATATTAATATAAATATTTTAGTTGTATGTCCCTTACAAAAAGAGGCGATTAAGGCACCGAGCCATCGATCAAGTTTAACAATAAAAACTTAAAAACCAAACCTTGAAATATAAGTTCTTTATAAGAACAGGTGTTTAACAAGATAGTAACAAATTGAATTAGAACAACAAATAAATACTATATCTTAGAAAGAACAGGAAAAGGAAAATAAATAAGCAGCTTACAAGAAACCAAAATATTATTATTAAAAATAATTATATATATATAAGAATTAAGACTTCCTTCATATTTTAACCATTTATAAGAAATCAATGGACTTAATAACATACATTGTAGGGTGCCTCGAAAAAACCCCCGAAAACTAAAGAATTGCTTGAAAAAATTTCAATGTATAATGACAATTTATAGACTTTTATCTAGCGACCAGCCCAAAAACCAGTCGGATCGTGTACGCCTCTCTTAATAGGGTAGAGGGAGTGGAGGGGGCGGTAGTTCCAGGGTCTTGAGAGACGCTAAGTGCCGTCTATATAAGCAAACGCCCAGCGATGATCTCTATTTAGTTGTCGTGTCGAGGGAAATCAATTCAGACGAAAATGCGAGCTTCCACGTTGTTATTTGGCCTGCTGTTAGTGGCCAGTTGCTCTTCGATATTAGCAAGGCCGCAGGACAGCAGCACCACTCCTAGTACCACAACAACCACAACAACTACCACAACTCCAAAGCCCGAGGAGTCGTCTACAACCACAACTACAACGGAAAAGCCAAAATCGGAGTCTACAACGGCCAGTACAACCACCACCAGCACCACCCCCAGTACTACGACTAGTAGCACCACCCCCAGCACTACTACTACCAGCACCACCCCCAGCACTACAACTCCTAGCACCACTCCCAGCACCACCACCACCACCACGACTACTACGACTACGCCTAAACCGGATGATGAGGCCTCCAAGCTGTTAGAACAATGTGCCCAATTGAGCCACCGGAAAAAGCGCGGTGGTTCATCCTCTTCCGAAGAAGACGACAGTGGTGAGAAGAAGTCGGCGAAGAAAGAACGTAAGCAGTTGAAAAAGCTTTGCAAGCAGTTAAAGAAGCAGCAGGAACGCAAGCAGGAGAAGGAACAAAAATCGGCAGTATCTGAATTAGCCGAAGCCCTGAGGAACTACAACCAGAAGCAGAAGAACTAATTAGCCAGTTCCCCTATATTTAAAATAATTTTTTTTTGTTTCATAGTGAACTTTATTTTATTTATAAATAATAATTCTATTAAAAAGGTTATTCTACTTAAAAAACAGAAATTTACTGGACAGTAATTTCTGTAATTTAATTTATGTAAATCGGAAAACAATGAACTTGTTTCTTTCTTTGGAGGTATTGAAATATAAAGAACATGTTTTTGGTTAAAAACAGGAGATGGTTATTAAAGAATTATATTGGAGCAACATTTAAACGATTGCTAAATAAATCGAATTTGTCCAAATCAAAGGTATAATATTATTTATATCTTTTGCTTTCAAAGTATTGCCCTAGATTTTAATTTAATTTTAATTTAAAACGAAAAACCTGCAGCTTTCTGAGCAAAATCGAATGAAACTACCCAGTTTGTTTGACTTTTCATTTTTTTCCCTATTCAAAGCCAACAAACCAAGGAAATATAGTAGAAAGTACAAACAAATTTGATTTGTAATCGATTTTAGCTCTATTTGTTTGTACATTAGCACTGCATACGTCAACAAAATCATTCAAAACGTGGACAACTTTGTGATTCACAATTTGTGGAAAGAGAAAGTTTCTTTTTATGCTGGCAGTAACATAATGTAGTTTTTTTTTTGTGTATTTTTTTTGGTTTAATTTGCTGATCAAGCCGTTTTATTATATTTTCTATCCATGCTATGTACACAATCCACGCTTAGGTCCCAACCTAGGCAAACAAGTATACGATTTATTATTATTTGTTAAACATTTCCGCTTAGCTTAACCAGAAATAAAGTCAGAAATAACAGCAAACCCGTTTTGTCGATGATCGACAACTATACGCAGTTACACAAATTTTTACAAAGGCAATTCGTATTAAAAAAAAATTATATTAACAAAAAAAATACAACAAATTTCCATGCCAAGAAATTAAATAAAAAATTATTTGGACTTGCGTAGATCTACGACAAAACACGTTTCATATTTTTGTTTGTGTTTCTGTGTTCTTCTGGATACTTGAACCTCCCTTGCTTTTGGTCAACTGGACAGTTGTGGCTTGAGGTCAATTTGAAAATTCGAGCTGTTGGCCAAGAAAGCAATTTGCATAATCAACATATGAGAAAATCAAGCGCAAAGAGACGAGAATTTTTAGACAGCAGCGAAAATCGAAGAAGAAATATGAATGCTAATTAGTTTGAGCCATTGAACTCTGGCCGATGGGGAGGGGATTTCGGGAAGCGTTGGTTCGACTCTAGTTCACTGTAAATTATGCTATATGAAATATACTCTTGTTGCTCAAACACATCATTTCAAAATGGAATTGCTACTATTTTACTATTCTATTTGGGTAATGAACTTATAAAATAATAATAACCAAATATGTTTCCTATTTGTCAAGGCAGAAACTTAATGAAAAGTACTGATAATGGTATTTTTATACTTTTATCATATTTTCATATTGTTTTTACAGTGTACGCCCTGACTAAATAGGTCGCCCCTGGCCCATTCTCCGGCTGACACGCTTTGAACCCGCAGACTTAATTATGCAAAAATCTCAAGCGAAAGAGGCCCAGAAGAAAGATTCTGGTCGAAATGCCGTTAGCCAGCTCGCTAGTTAATATAACCCGGGATCGCAAGTTGGAAAGCGATTCAGTCGATCGAGAAGCGAACAAGAGCCAAGATAATATGATGTGCGGCAAAGGATTCGGGATGATCCTGGTTCTTTTTTGGGCCACGGCCCTTTCCAGCGACCTCTCGCTGGTGAGCGGTAAATTTTTTTGATATCGTTTTCCTGCCACCTAAAGATTAAACCAAAAAATGTGTCTCCTGCTTTTTTTTTCCGTGATGCCAAAGGTCAAACGGTGTCACCGCTGACGAGCTCCACGAGTGCCCCGCCTAAAATGGAGGTCAAGCCCACGAAGCCAATGATCGTGAATGCTCCGCCAAAGAAAATGCATGAAAAAATGCCGGAGGCCAAAGTGAATGGCAGCAAGCCACTACAGGTCACGGGATTTATCACCAAATCCGGCAACATCTATGAGATCGAAGACAAACGTGGCTCCATTGGCTCTATCGAGGGTCGTCAGGCTGACCAGATTGTCTGCAATTATGGCAATGTGGTGATCTACAGCGATGTACCCTGCGATCAGGTCAAGAATGTGCGAGTCGGTGAGGTGAAGCCATTAAAGGAAGACCCCGTCGAGGTCACCACCGAGAAGAATACGGCGGCAGCCGAGGGCGAGCAGCAGGATCAGGAGCAAGATCAACAGCAGCAAGACTTGGCTGAGAATCAGGATCAAGAGCAGGATCAGTCTGAGCAGCCCAATCATCCTAGAGGTCAGGCCCAGAACAATCGCCGTCGTCGGCGTCGGCCGCAGCAGCAGCAACAAAGGTTGCAGCAACAGCAACGCCGTCGCCGCCGCCAGCAGCAACAAAAGTTGCAGCAACGACGCCGCAATGGCAATGGCAGCAACAGTTTGCGACGTCGTCGCAACCGCAATAACATCAACAACGGCAACAGGAACCGCCAGCAGCAGAGACGCCGCAGTCCCAACAACAACAGAAGACGCCTGAGCAACAACGGCAACCAGCAACATCGCCGCCAGCAACAACAACAGCAACGCCGTCGCCGTCCAAGCAACAACATTAATAGGCAGCAGCAGCAGCGACGTCGCCTTCGCGAAGGCAATAACTGAATGGGTTAGAGAAGGGCTGATAGAATGGGTTAAGCAACCTATGACCCCGACCCATGACCTACAACCTACGACCTCTGAACTCCAAACTCCCACGAAATAAAGCAACAACAAACGAAAGCAACAAACAAACGAAAGCCCCAAATGGAAAATTCTCTTTGAGTTGGTCTTTTAGGTCCTGGGGAATCAACACGGGGCAGTAATTAAAACAAGTGCAGTCCACAGCGTGAAAGAGCTGGTTGCAGACGGGCAGCTTAAGTGAGAGAAAAACTTTAAATTTATTAGACTCAATATAGATAGTTCCAATGAACTCAATCTTCTATAACTAATTTCTAGGATGGATTACGTTACAAAAGTTTTAACCCGATTCAACGACTAATATATTAGTATTTGATTTATTTATTTAAATTTATTTAAATTTTTAGAAATATGGCATCGACTGTTGGAAAAGTAATTTTTGGCCAGTTATCCCATTGAAACGGTAATATTATGCCCATAACTATGCCAATAATGGTCCCAATGTGCAATGTAATACCTCGTAGGGCTCGTTATTTGATTGTTATGATTCCCAATTGGTTTGCATTGCAAAAAGCCATTGTTTTAGCCGTAAGTCTTGTTTTGACAAAATTACAGCTAAGACACGGCAACAAAACCGGAATCTCTTCTGTAAAAAATAGGTTTTTTGACTTTTTAGCCATTAAATCCACACTCTCCCCAACAAAAACAGAGCAACACTGTTAAAAGTAGGTATAGGGGCTTAAAGCGTTGGTTGTTAGCTGCATAAAACAGCCTCTGTTTTAGCCGTGCTACTTGATTTGACAAAGTTACAGCTAAGAAACGGCAACAAAGCCGGTTTTCTGCTATCAAAAGACGTATACTTGATTTTGAGCGCAAAAAAATCAGTTTTTTAGCCATAGCACAGCCAAAAATGGTCCAAATACAGAATGTAATACCTCGTAGGGCTCGTAATTTGATTGTTATGATTCCCAATTGGTTTGCATTCAAATCTGGGAAACTTCATTTTTGGCCCATTTTTGAAAATTTTGATGATGGTACCCCTTATCAAAAATGCAAAATTTAGCCGAAAATGAATTTCTCAAAATCGCTAAACGAGTGATAGGGGTGGTTAGTTTCGGTCGTAAGCAGCACAAAACTGTCGTTCTTATGGTTGTACGGCTTGTTTTGGCCGAGCTAGAGCTAAACACCCGAAAATAGTATTGCAAATTTCTGTTAAAATTTGGTTTCTTGATTTTTTAGCCATTAAATCAGAGCTCGCAGCAAAAAACCAGAGCAATTATGATAAAAGCAAGTATAGGGGTTTAAAGTTTTGGTTGTTAACTGCATAAAACAGTCACTGTTTTAGCCGTAAGTCTTGTTTTGACAAAGTTACAGCTAAGACACAGCAACAAAACCGGAATCTCTTCTGTAAAAAATAGGTTTTTTGACTTTTTAGCCATTAAATCCACACTCTCCCCAACAAAAACAGAGCAACACTGTTAAAAGTAGGTATAGGGGCTTAAAGTGTTGGTTGTTAACTGCATAAAACAGTCACTGTTTTAGCCGTAAGTCTTGTTTTGACAAAGTTACAGCTAAGACACGGCAACAAAACCGGAATCTCTTCTGTAAAAAAAATAGGTTTTTTGACTTTTTAGCCATTAAATCCACACTCTCCCCAACAAAAACAGAGCAACACTGTTAAAAGTAGGTATAGGGGCTTAAAGTGTTGGTTGTTAACTGCATAAAACAGTCACTGTTTTAGCCGTAAGTCTTGTTTTGACAAAGTTACAGCTAAGACACGGCAACAAAACCGGAATCTCTTCTGTAAAAAATAGGTTTTTTGACTTTTTAGCCATTAAATCCACACTCTCCCCAACAAAAACAGAGCAACACTGTTAAAAGTAGGTATAGGGGCTTAAAGTGTTGGTTGTTAGCTGCATAAAACAGCCACTGTTTTAGCCGTGCTACTTGATTTGACAAAGTTACAGCTAAGAAACGGCAACAAAGCCGGTTTTCTGCTATCAAAAGACGTATACTTGATTTTGAGCGCAAAAAAAAACAGTTTTTTAGCCATAGCACAGCCAAAAATGGTCCAAATACAGAATGTAATACCTCGTAGGGCTCGTAATTTGCTTGTTATGATTCCCAATTGGTTTGCATTCAAATCTGGGAAACTTCATTTTTGGCCCATTTTTGAAAATTTTGATGATGGTACCCCTTATCAAAAATGCAAAATTTAGCCGAAAATGAATTTCTCAAAATCGCTAAACGAGTGATAGGGGTGGTTAGTTTCGGTCGTAAGCAGCACAAAACTGTCGTTCTTATGGTTGTACGGCTTGTTTTGGCCGAGCTAGAGCTAAACACCCGAAAATAGTATTGCAAATTTCTGTTAAAAATTGGTTTCTTGATTTTTAGCCATTAAATCAGAGCTCGCAGCAAAAAACCAGAGCAATTATGATAAAAGCAAGTATAGGGGTTTAAAGTTTTGGTTGTTAACTGCATAAAACAGTCACTGTTTTAGCCGTAAGTCTTGTTTTGACAAAGTTACAGCTAAGACACGGCAACAAAACCGGAATCTCTTCTGTAAAAAATAGGTTTTTTGACTTTTTAGCCATTAAATCCACACTCTCCCCAACAAAAACAGAGCAACACTGTTAAAAGTAGGTATAGGGGCTTAAAGTGTTGGTTGTTAGCTGCATAAAACAGCCACTGTTTTAGCCGTGCTACTTGATTTGACAAAGTTACAGCTAAGAAACGGCAACAAAGCCGGTTTTCTGCTATCAAAAGACGTATACTTGATTTTGAGCGCAAAAAAATCAGTTTTTTAGCCATAGCACAGCCAAAAATGGTCCAAATACAGAATGTAATACCTCGTAGGGCTCGTAATTTGATTGTTATGATTCCCAATTGGTTTGCATTCAAATCTGGGAAACTAAATTTTTGGCCCATTTTTGAAAATTTTGATGATGGTACCCCTTATCAAAAATGCAAAATTTAGCCGAAAATGAACTTCTCAAAATCGCTAAACGAGTGATAGGGGTGGTTAGTTTCGGTCGTAAGCAGCACAAAACTGTCGTTCTTATGGTTGTACGGCTTGTTTTGGCCGAGCTAGAGCTAAACACCCGAAAATAGTGTTGCAAATTTCTGTTAAAATTTGGTTTCTTGATTTTTTAGCCATTAAATCAGAGCTCGCAGCAAAAAACCAGAGCAATTATGATAAAAGCAAGTATAGGGGTTTAAAGTTTTGGTTGTTAACTGCATAAAACAGTCACTGTTTTAGCCGTAAGTCTTGTTTTGACAAAGTTACAGCTAAGACACGGCAACAAAACCGGAATCTCTTCTGTAAAAAATAGGTTTTTTGACTTTTTAGCCATTAAATCCACACTCTCCCCAACAAAAACAGAGCAACACTGTTAAAAGTAGGTATAGGGGCTTAAAGTGTTGGTTGTTAACTGCATAAAACAGTCACTGTTTTAGCCGTAAGTCTTGTTTTGACAAAGTTACAGCTAAGACACGGCAACAAAACCGGAATCTCTTCTGTAAAAAATAGGTTTTTTGACTTTTTAGACATTAAATCCACACTCTCCCCAACAAAAACAGAGCAACACTGTTAAAAGTAGGTATAGGGGCTTAAAGTGTTGGTTGTTAACTGCATAAAACAGTCACTGTTTTAGCCGTAAGTCTTGTTTTGACAAAGTTACAGCTAAGACACGGCAACAAAACCGGAATTTTTTCCGTAAAAAATAGGTTTTTTGACTTTTTAGCCATTAAATCCACACTCTCCCCAACAAAAAACAGAGCAACACTGTTAAAAGTAGGTATAGGGGCTTAAAGTGTTGGTTGTTAGCTGCATAAAACAGCCACTGTTTTAGCCGTGCTACTTGATTTGACAAAGTTACAGCTAAGAAACGGCAACAAAGCCGGTTTTCTGCTATCAAAAGACGTATACTTGATTTTGAGCGCAAAAAAAAACAGTTTTTTAGCCATAGCACAGCCAAAAATGGTCCAAATACAGAATGTAATACCTCGTAGGGCTCGTAATTTGATTGTTATGATTCCCAATTGGTTTGCATTCAAATCTGGGAAACTTCATTTTTGGCCCATTTTTGAAAATTTTGATGATGGTACCCCTTATCAAAAATGCAAAATTTAGCCGAAAATGAATTTCTCAAAATCGCTAAACGAGTGATAGGGGTGGTTAGTTTCGGTCGTAAGCAGCACAAAACTGTCGTTCTTATGGTTGTACGGCTTGTTTTGGCCGAGCTAGAGCTAAACACCCGAAAATAGTATTGCAAATTTCTGTTAAAATTTGGTTTCTTGATTTTTTAGCCATTAAATCAGAGCTCGCAGCAAAAAACCAGAGCAATTATGATAAAAGCAAGTATAGGGGTTTAAAGTTTTGGTTGTTAACTGCATAAAACAGTCACTGTTTTAGCCGTAAGTCTTGTTTTGACAAAGTTACAGCTAAGACACGGCAACAAAACCGGAATCTCTTCTGTAAAAATAGGTTTTTTGACTTTTTAGCCATTAAATCCACACTCTCCCCAACAAAAACAGAGCAACACTGTTAAAAGTAGGTATAGGGGCTTAAAGTGTTGGTTGTTAACTACATAAAAAACAGTCACTGTTTTAGCCGTAAGTCTTGTTTTGACAAAGTTACAGCTAAGACACAGCAACAAAACCGGAATCTCTTCTGTAAAAAAAAAGGTTTTTTGACTTTTTAGCCATTAAATCCACACTCTCCCCAACAAAAACAGAGCAACACTGTTAAAAGTAGGTATAGGGGCTTAAAGTGTTGGTTGTTAACTGCATAAAACAGTCACTGTTTTAGCCGTAAGTCTTGTTTTGACAAAGTTACAGCTAAGACACGGCAACAAAACCGGAATCTCTTCTGTAAAAAATAGGTTTTTTGACTTTTTAGCCATTAAATCCACACTCTCCCCAACAAAAACAGAGCAACACTGTTAAAAGTAGGTATAGGGTCTTAAAGTGTTGGTTGTTAACTGCATAAAACAGTCACTGTTTTAGCCGTAAGTCTTGTTTTGACAAAGTTACAGCTAAGACACAGCAACAAAACCGGAATCTCTTCTGTGAAAAATAGGTTTTTTGACTTTTTAGCCATTAAATCCACACTCTCCCCAACAAAAACAGAGCAA